GTACGTACTATGTAGGGAAGGAAACTGAGTGTCAATGAGGAGAGCTTCACTACTCTGACTAAACTGTGTTTGTGGAGACAATAAATTGGTTGCTTATTGGCTAATCTTCCGTATACAATTAATATTGAAAAAAAAATGTGAATAACTGGTGCACAACTCTTACAGAAAGGCTGTCAGGTCATTTGTCATCAAGGCACACATGATCCATGTTAGTCATTACTCTTTCTCCAATTGAAGAGTCACAGAACCTTGTAGAAAGATGTAAAATTAGATTTGCATATGCATATTTTGCTGAAGTGCATGATCTCATTATGTCATGTCATATTAAGAAGAAACTATGCTTCTAACCACACAGGTTGAAAGCTCTATATGACCAGTGCTTTTTGTATTTCAGTTTTATCTCACTGGTTATCTTCAGTTTGGACTAATTATTATTATTATAATAATAATTAGTAATTAGTCGGGTATTTTTAATCTGTTGCTAAATCTGCATTTCTTGTACAGTACCTGCATTATAAAAATACTTGTTTTAACTCAATCTTAGGTAAAATATTGACAAACACAACATTGAGTAGATTTGTTCAATTACATTTTAGGTTCATCCTTATTTGACGCATTGTTAGCTTACGACAACCCAGCATTTTTTTAATGCAGTTTTTTAGGATGCTTTATTACCCTATGGCTCTCTGAAATACTTGATACTTATTGGTCAATCAAGGAATTCAGCAGTTAATGATGTTTTTACTTTGACCGCTAAAATGTATAAGTGACTATTGTCCCAGGTAATGAATCTCCATCACTTAGTAAATTTTCTATTTTATTCAAGAAACTCGACCTTTATAGATGCAAGAATGATTAATATGGTTGTAAATTATGAGCTATAATATAACTTTTTTCCATTTTTTGCCACATTTCCAAAATATGGCATAATTCTGAATAACCGAATGTGACAAGTCTTTTTTTTTTTGGCATACAGTATCAGGTGTACAGAAGAAAGAATGTGTAGATTTTACAAAATTATTCACAACTATTTTACAATCATTACATCCAATTTTGATATGCACTATAGGATTTTCTAGACCTAGTACAAGTAAAATAATAAAATAAACAATAAAGTAATAAACCCAGTAAAATATGCTGGGTTCCACTCAATCGATTTGTGTCGGGACAATAGAAAGGACTCCATTAAACTTATTAGTTTTTTACAAATTTAAGTTGATTGAAATTCAACTCCCATTCCCCCCCACCCCAAAGAGAAAAAAAAATTCAAGAATTATGTTTTAGGCCATTAAAACAACAAACATCATTTATTTTATTTTACATGTTGTTTTAAAGTATTGTATTTATTTTTAAACAGCTTTTATTTTGTAGTTGCATGTAAATTAAAGACGTAACTTCAGTAATAAGTAACACATTAAATTGAACCTGAAATTTTAATGTAGCAAAACATTAAAATGTGGTTTTATCTACATTTGGTTGTAAAATACACTCCAGTAATCCTTTTTTTGTTTAATTTATATAACTTTTAATGGTGGTAACAGTGAAATAATCCTCAAATTAAACACAATGAGATGAGATGGAGTAGATTTTTTTTTTAATCTGGGGGCTGTCGGAGTGGGATCCTGATGAAATCTCTTCTGTTCTTGTTTGCATTGCGAGAGGGGGTGGTGATGAGGGGGGCGGTAATAATTACCCAGAATTCTTTAGCGGTCTCATTTCTTGCTGTACTGTAACTTGTGCCTTCACGCTCTCTACTTTTACTTTTTATCTTCTCTCTTTTCTTTTCCTTCTGAACCTGCAATTACAGAGACTTCTTGACTCTTTCCCTCTCTATTGTGTGCTTTCTGAGCCGAAGCATTGGTGCAAAGTGCAAAGCTGTCTTCGTTTCAGTTGAACAGAGGAGGGAGGAAATCTGTTTTAAACCATTTCACAAAGTAATTGTCTCCCTCACATTCCTATCATTTTCTCGCGCTTTCTCCTACTTCAGGATTGAACTTTCAATGCGTTTTCCTTTTCTCAGGGAAACTTTGACCAAATACACAAGATATTTAGAGCATAAATAGGACTGTTGCTTGTAATTTACTTGCCTCTCGCTCACCGATCTGCATAACTCAGCCAAAACCTCAGCTCTTTTCAAATCCACTGTTTATTGTCGTCAAAGTCACAAAGATATTTACGTAGCAAAATTCAAAACTACATCTTATCTGTTTAACAAAAATAGACATGTTTCTTCCTAAGGCTTTACTTTTGCACAAAAGAATAACATTTAAACATGTAATTTTATACACCCTCAAAGTGTAACAATGTTCCCATTTCCAGATATCATATAGTCGCACACATACTCATACAAAAAAAATAAAACAATGTACCATAGCGTGACATTCAGATATAAATGACCCTGTAGAAATCGTTTACTCTTTTAAAAATACAAAAAATGTATATGCATATGTACATAGACACAGAACAGCATTGTAGAACTCAACAGAACAATTAGGGCAAGAAAAAGTGTCACTTTTTTTTCTCTCTGTTTCAATATTTTGCAAATATATATATATATATTTTTTTTTCTTTCTTTTTTTTCTGTATCTTGTGGCCAGTGTTCCCGCACAGAGAACATTAATTAAGTAAACTCATATGACAGCACTTCAGGCACTTGCACAATATTTTCACACATAATTTTCAGAGGCAAGTAAGTAAAAGAGACTGTTTATGCTGTCAGAATCAACATTTTATTTATTTTTTTACTTTTAATAAATACTTAATATATCTCTTTTGTACGCTTTGGTTTACACATATATCTTAATTTTTCCTACAATTCTCTTCTGACATGGCCTTGTTTATGCCTTGTTTTTAAAATGCATCTTGGTTGATTGGATCCATAGCTGCAAAGCTACACCAAACAATGCAGGTTTGGATTATAATAAGTACCCTATAATGCCCTATAATGCCCTATAATGTTGAATAGAACTAGGGCTGCACAATATATCGGTTGAGCATCGTTATCACAACGTGCGTGTCCGCAATAGTCACATCGCAAGATCCCAGCAAACAATGTTGTGTTTAATATACGTCTAATAGACATCAAAATATAGACAGCTTGGCTAAAACAAGGCTAAACTTGGGCTGTCAGTGAAAATCTAATAGACATATAAGAATAGCCCAAAACTAGTTGTCAAATAGACCGATTAGACAGACGTTATATGTGTAGTCGTTAATATCTGTTTATTTGACGACTAGTCTAGTTTTGGGATATTCTTACATGTCTATTAGATTTTCAATAACAGCCCAAATTAAGCCTTGTTTTAGCCAAGATGACTGTTTAGACATCTATTAGACATCTTTTAATAACAAAACATGCTTGCTTGGATATGCAATGTTAGGTTGGGATTATAGATGGCCAAGAACCACAGGTTAAAACATGAGATTTGTGGAGACTCTGCAAAAGGTAAGCATTATAGAGTGAAAGTTAATTATCTGCATGTGTTTTTAAGGCCTGTGACTATATAAGCATTTTAGGAGAATTCAAAGCATTTACTTGTTTAAATTTATTAAACAAGTTTAATAAAGATTTTACTGAACAGTTCATATGATGAACACTATGAATTGTTGATTTACATTTGATTATTAAATTTCTGGTACTGAATACTGCTTGACTCGAGCCCCAGCTAGGTCAGTTGTCATTTCTGTGTTGAGTTTGCATGTTCTCCTCGTGTTCGCTTGGATTTCCTCCGGGTGCTCCGGTTTCCCCAACAGTCCAAAGACATGGTACAAGTGAATTGGGTAGACTAAAATTGGCCTTAGTGTATGAGTTTGAATGTGAGTTTGAGTGTTTCCCAGTGATGGGTTGCAGTTGAAAGGGCATCCGCTGAGTAAAACATATGCTGGATAAGTTGGTTGTTCATTCTGTGAAATTACATTGCAATATATTATATAGTGCGCAGCATAATTGAGTGCACCCCATTATGAAAATGAATATTTTTATCCATTTCTCAGTAAATAGGTAATATATATTGCTGCATTTAAACAAAACAGATTTATTAAACAGATATATTTATTAAAATAATAATTTAGTCACCAAACATATTTAGAAATTGAAAGATGATACAATTAAATTCAAGCCAAATATTGCAAAAAAATGCAACCTACAAAATTAAGAAAATTTGTAATATTTTTTCCTCTTTTTTTATTGTATTTAATATTTTTCTGTTACATAAATTTGGGTGTAGTTGTTTTTGGACTTATCGTAAGTTATTTTGTTAGATAAGCTCCAGGTTTGGCTTCAGTACTGACTAATCTAATGTACTGTATATGCACAAATATAATATTGTATAGCTTCCTATTAAAAATATAAATTTAAAAGAGAGATTTGTGAGTGGTGTACTCAAATATGCTGAGCACTGTATTATATATTGCAGAGAAAAAATATTGCAATACCAAATGTTCCAATATCGTGCAGCCCTAAATAGAACTGTAGGTGATACTTGATTTTTGAATGTTTTTAGATTTTTGAATGTTCAATCTCTGGTTGAAAATTGACGACCTCAAGATGTTTTACACACCATTTACACCTGTTTTTAACAATGTCCACGTGTGATCCTTTCAACAAAAAAGCATCTTAAAACCAGAAATAAACATAGGCTAAAAGGGATAGTTCACACAAAAATGAAAATTCAATTTAGTGGTTCCAAAACTTTGACTTTTTTTTAAGCCACCAACATTCTTCAAAAAATTGGTAACACTTTATTTTGATAGTCAATTTAAGTATTATTAATAGACTGTCTGCTTAATGCCTGTTGATACTGCTCCTTTATGACTATGAGTAACTTTGCAAGTACATGTCAACTTACACTAACTCTAACCCCAACCTAACAGTCTACTTATAATCTAATGAGAATTAGTTGCCATGTAGATGCAATGAAACCTAAATTCAACAAATGGACCATCAAAAAAAGTGTGACCAAAAAATCTTTAGTGTTCAACAGAAGAATGTAAATAAATTTTTATATTTTTGGTTGATCTATCTCTTTAATTTTTAATAACTTTGTATACATTTCAGCTTATGACGGTTTAGTTTTTTTAAAGTTAATATTTAAATAAAATAAATAAAGGCACCATAAGAACAGGTTCACCCTTTGTTTTGGGACTTCATATCTGAACCCTGAAGAATGCAATACATGCTACAAAGAAAAAATAAAAAACAAAGCAAAAAAAAAAAACGGTCAAACATGCCATCGAGTTTCACTAAAACGTCATATAGAAAATACCATTTCTTATTCTGTTTTGGAAAACTCACAACATTAGAAGCGACCTTTTGTTTTCTCACATTTGATCATGTGATATAGCAGTCACTATTCATAACAGCACTTTATCACTAACACAAGAGACAAATTAGACTACGTTTAGATATAGGCCCAACATAGTCTCTTGTTATGTTGGCTACTAGCAGCTTTTGTGGAATGCAGCTTTACAGAAGTTTGACTTCAGTACTGATTGAGAAAGGAAGGAAGAAAGGAAGAAAGAAAGGTAGGATGAAAGAAAGACAATAAATATATATATTAAGAATCTTTTGCTACTAAAATCTCTAGTGCTACAGCTTCGTCTTGAATTCTTTTTGAGTGGAGAAATGGTCTCCCGCTGTCTCCACTGCCTTATTGTTCTCTCTCCTTTCTAGAGTGGAAAGCTCTACCTTTGTGGATCGTTCATCTCTATAGCAACAGGAGTCCTCAGTCTTTAGGTCTGCCTTCGACATCCCCGTGTTTTCCGATTTCCTTGGCTCTCACAATCTTTCCATTTTGCTGCTGATGCCGGGAGCCGTTCAGCGAGCTGCGCTTCATGAGTCGATTGATGATGTCACTGCAGGTCTTCCTGTACTGGTGGCGCAGGAGAGAGTAGACGAAAGGGTCGCACGCAGCTTTACTGTAAGCCAGACTCTTACACAGCACTCCCCAGTATGGATTAAATGGCTCTGTCAGAAACAGCTCCACAATCCTAAAGTCACAACACACACATATATGTGAGCAAACCAAGTATGTGGATTTGATAGTTACAGGGACAGTTCAATTAAGTTCAGAGTTATTTCTATTGTTCCTTTTTATAATAATTATTGTTTAAAGCTGCACAATATGTCATTTTAGCATCAATATCTGTGCTAAGTGCACATCTCCAATAGTCACATTGCTGGATCTGCAATGTCCAATCAGGATTTTAGTTGAGCAGGAGTTAAACACACACATGATTGTTGCGTAATTGCAAAGTTTAACCATAAAGTTGCTAAAAAAATCATTTGCACCTGTTTTAAGGGCTGTGACTGTTTATGCATTTCAAGCCACTTTAAAGCATTTAGGCACAGAAAATTAAAGTTGCAGTATCTTCAAGGTATTTAATAGTGTCATTTATTTTACATTTACTTATTTTATGTGTGTACCTGAATGCTGTTAGACTATCGGGAAAACCATAAAGCATTTATTTAATTTGTAACTTAGGGATGTGACGAGATCTCGGGCTATGAGATCTCGCAAGACTAAACTGATAATTTAGTCTGATGCTCCATCATGAATATGATGGAGCTTGAGGGTGAATTTAGCACTGAAGACTGGAGTCAGGATTAGATTTGAACAGTACATCAAGCACTTTGCACACACCTGAAATCCAGGGTTGCCTCTGTGTTGTGCATAACTCATTTGCTTGGGCAGTTGTGACGTATTGGTTTTTTAGAGGCTGCTACAACTGCTGCTACACAAATTTGTAATCATGCGACGGAATAGCACTTCAGATATGCTTAAATTCATAATCATCATAAACAGAAATCGAATTAAGACATGTGGAGTATTCCTATTTTGGTCGCGTTTTTGAAGTGCAGTACAGTCATGTAAACACTTAAACTATTACTGTCGTGTAGGACTTTTAGTCGCATTTTGTGACAGGATACTCTCTCTCTCACACACACACACACACACACACACACATGGCCGTTTCATCACTGAACACATGTAAAAGTAAAATTTGTAGAAAACAGTTCGGTTTCTCATGTGAAGCTGTACAGGGGAGAAGCCAATCAGAAGAGTTTATAGCTAAATATTTAGCAGTGTTTGTTTGTCCTTTATGCCACAGTTAATTAAAATAGAAGTAAAATAACATTTCTTACAAGTTGATTTAAAAAAAGCCCCTGAATCGTTTTGCATTTTGCGGGGGGTTTTTTTCAGTTGAATTTTTTTTTTTCAAAATTTCAGCAAAAGTTTTTAGCAGTGTTTGCATGTATTTTACTGCATAGAATTTGTTAAAATAAAAGTAGAATGACATTCACTGCAAGTTGATAAAGCACCTAAATAGTTTTGCATTTTGTAATTTTTCTTTTTCTTTTTTAGATGAATAAAAGACTATTTTCCATTTATATATTTCATCATTGAAGATTTCTTAAAAATACTGTAAAAGTGTGGAATAAGCATCTTATCACACCCCAAGTAACTTTACTTTACTGTATTTACCATTGCTTGTGATTAGGTTTATTACATTTTATGCAAATTCACTCCACTACAAATTCATCCTATTGTTATCCAAACATATTCTGAAAATTTTCATTATTTTTAAATAGAGATATTCATTTCAATGTTTTTTTCCAATATATTAATATTAATATTAATAATATAATATTTAAGCAGCCCTTGATCCCAAGAGGCTTTAAAAAAGATGCATAGTACATTACATAGTACTGTAAAAACCAATTAGTTAAGACAACTCAAACCATTTGAGTTTGTTCAATATGAGTACTGTGAACTTCATTGAACTTGAAGTAATGAGGTATTTAATTAATATTTTAAAATTAATATTTAATTTAACTCATAACCTTCAACACTGAGTTTAAAACTCTTGTCAAATGAGTAGTATTATCTTTCAGTAAATTTTGAGTTAAATACACTCATTTCATTTGATAGTTGACTGTTGGGTTTTACAATGGAAAAAATACTATACTATGGAAGTCAGTGGCTACCGGTTTCCAACATTGTTCAAAATATCAGGAAGTTCAATAGGTTTGAAACGAGTGAAGGGAAAGAAAAATGATTTTGAATTTAAATGATGACAGAATTGTAATTTTGGGTCAACAATCCCCTTTAAAGTAAAGTATTATACAGGTTATGCATTTAGTTTAACAGAGGTTGTAAATGCAGAACAATCCCTGTCATCTGTATGCTTGTGTGAGGGATAATCTGTGACCTGAACGAGACAACAGTTGCTCATAAGAATTGATTTGACAGGGGCTTTGAAGAAGAAAAGCTGCAGCAAAAGTAAGGGGTAAACATGACAGTTCATCCTGCATTTTCTCTGAGCTCACCGAGGTTATATAATAACATGGCAAGTCAGGAAGCCCTTCTTCACTTTGGATTATGAGTCAGGTGAACATATATAACCATAAACGTTAGTACAAGACATACAGCCATTATATTTCATAACTTGTACGTTATTTTAGAGGAGACTAGTTTGAGATATTTCAGTAAATCTGTCTGTCTGCCTGTCTATAGCAATGGTCTCAAGCTCAATTCCCGGAGGGCCACTGCTCTGCATAGTTTATCTCCAACCACCTCCAACGTTCACCTGCTTAATAGTCTTTAGTCTTGAACACCTTGATTGGTTGGATCAGCTGTTTTTGATTTGATGACCATTGATGACCATTGATTTTAATCGTAAGAGGAGACTGATTGAGGGTAAGCAAACTAGTATTAATGGAGAGGATGTTGAGAGTGTTGATCAGTATATAGGTATCTGGGAACTGTTTTAGATAATAAATTGTCCTTTTCTGCTAATACTAATATGTTGTGTAAGAAGGGACAACAAAGATTATACTGTTTACAGAAATTGAGATCTTTTGGTATAGATAAATCACTCATGTGCATGTTTTACAGTTCATACATTCAGTCATTGTTATCCTTTTCTTTGCTTTGTTGGTTCAATTCTCTAAGTGTGAAAAATAAGAGTTGTTTGGAGAAAATTGTGAACCTTGGAGGAAAAATAACAGGGAAAAAACAGATGCCCATGGCTCAGTTATACCAGAGACAAGTTTTGAGTAAAGCTCAGAGTATTCTGTTAGATGATTCCCATCCTATGCACCACGAGTTTTATCTTCTCCCTGCTGGTATTCGACACAGAACTCCTATTAGTAAAACAAATCGTTTTAAACTTTCATTCATCCCCTTAGCTGTAAAGTTTTTAAGCTTAGGGTAGAATTTGTATTTTATGATGTACTTTTGTGTATTGTGTGTGACATGCTTGTATGCTGCAACCAAATTGCCTTCGGGAAATGAATAAAGACTGACTGACTGATTTGGGTTGGAGCAAAATTGTGCAGAGCTGCCGCCATCGAGGAATCCAGTTTGAGACTTATGATCTACAGTATCTGTTTGTGTTGATGTTTGTTTTTCTATCTGTGTCTATATTTTGAAACAAGTTGAAGGTTTAATATGTTTATATGAGAAATCACTTTTGTAAATGGAATTAGTTTCTGACTCAAAAAACAACAACAAAAAAAACTCATTTACCTCACCTTGTTTTAGCTTCAATTGATTCATCTGCATTCAGTGTATAAGATAGGTAATAAATTAACTGATTAATTTTCTTATGTTAATACAACAATAAAGTAAAGACTATTTAATATTGTTCAGTACAGAAATTAAATAAAGTCTATACATTTTTAGCATTTTAGAGTTTTTTTTTTTTTTTTTTAGCAATTTAACAATAAAACAAGTAATGATTATTATGCAAAGTTATGTGACATTACACCGTATGCCGTGTATCCAAGATATGGCTGGGCTATTTGGCCTAAATCAATTAATTTTTAAATAGCAATTAATAAATTATTTTATTTATTTGTTTATTCATTTATTTTTGCTCTTAGTTTAAAAAAGTGAAAATACTTGCACTTTTGGAAACAAAATAAATTATTTTCAATGTTTTTCATATTAAAATGAGAAAATAAGAAGTATCTCTACTAAATAAAATAACTCTTGTATATCCTGTAAATAATATTTTAAACAGTTTTTTCTGTAAGCAAATCTTCTGTAAGCAAATATTTTAATGTAAATAATAATTTGAATGTAATGCAAAATATGCAGTCTCAAGGCATCTCTGGCACAGCTTTCAATCATCATCAATTCAGTGCGAAGTAAAGTTTAAAAATGACTCCATCGTCCTACTTGACCAGTGATCAGCGGTCCATTCTTTGTACCTCCCATTCTTGATCTTTTAATCTTGATAACTGATTTCTGGCTAATTTGGTTCTTTAAAAAGTTCGCGAATCAGATAAAAATGTCTGGATGAACTGATCTGAAATCGCTGCGCGTGTTGTGAAGGATTTATTAATCCTTGAAACCATGATCAGCAATCCAATGATTGGCTGACGGCACATCAGCGTAATGACATCATCTGATTAATATTCAACTATCCACGTGAGCAAAATTATATAAAATTCGTAGTAAGCGGTTTGTTAAATATAACCTTTGTTGTGCACTGCAGGCTTTACACTTTCATCTGTTAATAGTATTTAGTCATTTATTTAGAGAAGATTTTCTTTATTATACACTCTCAGAAATAAAGGTACACAAGCTGGTACCTTTTAAAAAGGTACAAATTTGTACCTAGAGAGTCCATATTAATACCTCAAGGGTACATATTAGTGCCTAAAAAGTACAAAAGTGTTCAAAAGTATATACTTTTGAGGTACCAATATGGAACCTTTATGAACAAATGTGTACTGTTTGAAAAGGTACTAACCCAGCTCACGTACCTTTATTTCTGAGAGTGTAGTAGCCTAGGCCTATTCAAGTTTTAATGAATTTAGCATCAGAAAAGCTTTCATATCGGTAAAAGTGTCTGCAACTTTTGGGAAGCATCAAATCGCCGTCATATTAGCTATCATAACGTGTATGATTGCATAAATTATTATTCCTTTTTAAAAAAAAAAGTTGAATATTGTGCATGTCTATTAGACATTAAAAGTATTTGTAATTCAATAATGTTTTAAAACGGTCATAGTCATATTATAGTTGTTTTTTATAATTTAGATTGTTGCATATTATTGAAAAAAGTCAGTAAATAAATTAACTACTGTTTTAGTTTGAATACATTTTATTTCTCCTTTTGTATCTTCAAGTCTAAAAATCTTTCTGTGTTAGGGCCTTACAAAGGTAATGATTATTCACCAATGTTGTTCAGTAACAAAGGGTGTAAAATGTCTCAAATGCCCTTGGTCTCCCTTAAGCAGTATACTACACAGTGTCCTCCAGCTTATTAGAATTACATCAAGCATGCAGCCAGCTAATAACATCCAGGGATCTCGACCTCGCCAACAAATTAAAACTATAATAACAGCATGACTGCACAGATGCCGAGAGTCGGGAGCCCAGGGGGAGAAAAGCAGTCGGCTCACCTGGTGATGACATAAGGGCTGAAACAGACCACGAAGGTGCCGATGAAGGTGCTAATTTTGCGGGTGGCTCTCTGTCTTCTCCTTTTCTGCTCCTCCAAACAGCGCTGACGAACACTAGGCAAACATTTTAAGCTCAGTTTAAATAATATCTGCACATTGTGCATTGTTCTTTTATGTACTGTACAGTCAAAAACTAAAAACTACAGGATACTATAGTTCATTTATGTAAATGTGGAAACCAAAATAAAGTAAAATGTGATGCAATAAAGGTCTTTATGAAGTGGACCTTAAAGCAATGAGTTGAAGAAGCTGTAGCAAATCTTTAAAATTATTAAGTTTAGGTTTGCATTAAGCTGGTCGTCAGCAGAGACTACAGGCTGTCATTTAAGATAAACGTGAACCAATAAAGTATTGATAGTTTTGTAAATATTGTAAAAGTTTTACTTGTCTTAATTAATACTTGTAGATTGTGATTCACTACATGCTGTACCTTTCTATCACAGTTATCTGAAATTATCAGGATGAATTTTCAAAGGTGCCATAGAATGAAAATCTAGATAAACCATAGCTGAGTTCAATACATGGAAATGACATCTTGTGAGCCCAAATGTAACACCTTCAAAATGTACAATCTTGGTGGAAAAACAGGCCACTTTAAACAAAACACAGACTCTCACAATCCACATGGCATCATTTAATATGCAAACCTCAGGCTGCTTCTGACTTTCCACAGTATTTCCTACTGAGATTACAGCAATGATATCCCCATTATTTTGTAGTTTGCCTTAGCTTGTATTAAACATGCTATGTATGTGGGACTTTTTGTAAATGGGAGAAGCATAAAAAAGATATAGAGATTATAAATTGATTATTATTAGCACCACTCCGAAGACACAAAGTAATTTTTATTTTTTTAGTTTAACATGTATTTTGGGAAATGTTCAGCATATGTTTGTAATGAGGCAACAAACACATAAACTGCTGAGTGTAAACTGTGATCATTTAAGATGTGGTCTGAAAATCAAAAACAATATCTGTGCACCAGATGAACCATATGTCATCACTGACATGATTAGAAAAATTCTGACAAAACATTCAGGAGATATGACAGATGTGTCCCATAGAGTCAGGATATTTGCCAAAGCTGTTTTCATGATTCATTGAAATGCCACATTGGTTGGCACACCTGCAGTGGATTATTTAATGCTTGCTTACGTGGTCAATTGTGTCAAACTGAAGTATGGCATTTTTGGATGATTGCTATATCAGTCTTTGGTTTGTATTGCATAAAGACCAACAGCTGGCAGTGATTTTTCCCTTTTCTCTGCATGCATAGTGCTCTTATACGCTCCCTGCCTGAACACCAGATGTGCTCATTACATGTGCTGTAAAGGACCGTTGCCATTTGTCATTGTTGGTTTATTAATTATTGTGGTCGACTGTTTGCCATTCAAAGTCATCTAGAGCTTTGGGCATTGAGCTGATGATCTTTAGTTTCTGACAAGCACAAATGTCTCTTGATATCTGTTGGCATTTGAGAAGAGGTGTGTTTACATCAGCCGTCTCTTGTGCCTTGCTATTTGGTAAAAGAGTGCAAACATTTTTATATTTACTTTAAGCACTGGTTGATTTTAAAGCAAAAATTGTTGATTGTGGTTTTATTTCTGGCTAGTGTCACTGCAGCGGATATATTTGTGAAGGCTTTAGTTTGATTTAGGGGTTTAGAAAGAGCTGTTGATGTGTTTTGATTTCATGCACACTTTTAGATGGAGACTGTGAATAGAAATATGACTTGGCCAGTTTAAATCCATTTTGATTAACAGAAATTAGTTGCCTTCACTCTTTAAATAGAGAATGCAAAAATAGTTTTTATTACATCGATGTCATAGAGGAGCCATTCAAAGATTCATAAAGAACATTTCAGTAAAAGGTCCTTAAAAGAACAGTTGTTTTTTTTAGCATGAAGAACAGTTTAATAACTTAAACACTTTCCCACTGTAATGAACCTTTGTGGATTTAAAAGTTTCCATGGATGTTAAAGGTTATTTATGAAATCTGCAATGCCAATAAAGAACCTTTAATTTTTTTTAAGTGTTTGTCAATCCATTACCTGCAAGTTGATGGACATGAAGAATACATGTCTTTACATTTATGGTATTTGTTTTTAACTCTGAATATGTTTTAAAAATGCAGCTGGTTCCAGTGATTTGTGTGCATTATTGAGTTATTCAGGATTTAGTAGGTGAAGTCCAAAACAGAAACCAGATCAAGAGGGCTGTGGACCAAATCTGTGGTGCTGAAATCAAGCAGCTCAGTGTATTTTCTTTGAGCCGTTTAAACTTGAACGCTGAATATGTGATTCAATATCTATGTGCTAACAATTCTTAAATTATAGAATCTTTAGAAGAGAATAGTTATAAGAAGAGTTATTAGAAGAGTTTTTTCATTGTTTAAAAAGTTACTTAGAAAAGAATTATATATATATATATATATATATATATATATATATATATATATATATATATATCAGCTTATTTAACCACATATAGAGTAAGAATATATAAGGGTAGTAACAAACATCTTAATTATACAGTATAATGAATCTAGATTATTTCATCAGATTTCAAGTGGACTTAAAATTAGATTAAATTGTTTTAAAACGTTTATAATCTGATGGATTTCATGACTACATATTGTTAACATAAAATCAGTAAATTCATTCATTGATTTCATCCTATTTTTTCCTCCAGTAAGTTTTCTGTTTTTAAAGTGTTTCATTTAGATTGTTTTAAGTCCTCCTCGTACAGAATGGCCGTATCTAAATCATTGTTTTATCAGTCAATTTAGACCTTAAATACAGCAGGAGAAATTCTCAGTAAGTTTCTTAGATGTACCCAAAATGGCTCTTCTATAACAAAATCCATGCATTTCTATGCAAAAAGAGAAAAAGAAGAAAAAATTTTAATAAGGAAGGATAGCAGTATAGAGAACGGGGTATTCCCAGAATTTCCCTTTCGACCTACATTATTATCAAAGCTTATTTGCTTTGTTAACATGGTTGTCTTTGTGTTTGTATCACTGTCTCCTTGTCTTATTACATAGCTGTTGCATTTGTCTATTTTTTATGGAGTGTGGCCTTCCTGTCTTTGCCTTTGTATTGTTTTCTGTGAATTTACAGCTACAATAGGCTGTCATATTCTTACATCATCGTCACCGTATTAGGTTTCAGAAAGGGGGTTTGCAACGATGCATACATAAAATATTTGGGGTTCACCTTACAGTGAAAAAAGAAAAGTAGTGTTTTGTTATGTAGTGCAAAAAAATCGTAAAGCATCTGGACTGTGGTTAAACCAGTTAATTAAACAGTATATGCGCACAGTATATGTCCTTACCTCGGGTGTATGTCCACCAACAGTACGAGGGTTTGCATGGTGATCACGTCTATGCGCTTGCAGTGAAAGCGCGCGACTTTGAGCACTTTCAGATAGGTGACGCAGAGTACCACCGACACCAGCAGGAACGTAAGCGAGTGCAGCACCAGCGTGTACATCGCGAATTGCGTCTTGGCATGAACAGCCCTGCCGTTACAGAGCGTGCACGAAGCGTACTGCTGATGGTAGCCCACCCAGGAGAGACACGCGGCGACCACCGAGAAGGATAGCGAGTGCACCCACGTGTAAGCCAGAGCGATCACAGCGTCCCTGTGACGGATCCTGGAATGATAACTCAAAGGGAACACCACTGCAACCCACCGGTCGATGCTGAGCGCAGCCATACTCAGCATAGAGTTGGTGGTCAGGAAAGTGTCCAGAAAGCCGACCACCTGGCAGAAAACGTGTCCTCCAGGGTGCGCATTACTTAGCACCCCGAAAAGAGTCAGCGGCATGCTGGAGGCGGACAGAAGCAGGTTGCAGAACGTCAGGTTGAGTATAAACAAGCCAGGGACCTGCTTGCGTATCTCTGCATTGTACAGGAAGCAGATCAGCACCAGCACGTTGGACAGCACCGACACTACGATGATCAAGATGAGGAGAAAGGAAAGCGCGAGCTCCGCTGTGTGCATGATGTTCCCCGCTCTTTTAAAGCCCCCAACTTTGTAGTGCAACTCCAGGACAGTTCATGACGGGGAACTAAACTGTATCAATACAACTTGTAGATCCCCGGGCGTGATATCCAGCGGCGCGCGGCTACTCGATGGACGGCTCCCCATAGCTCTAACCACCGTTTAGTCCGCGAAGTGTTGGCACAATCCATCCAAACAGTTGGAACGCGAGATTTCAGGAGTGGACGCTTAATCCGCTCTCCCTCACAACCCTGAAGGAATGCCACGCGCAAGTGCGCAGTTATGGTTTGTGCGCTCTTCTAATGCAGAATTCGCCCTTGAAGCAGCTTTATATGTCAAAATGTCACCCCCACCCCCCCACACGCTATCACGAAATACCCACACGTGACTAGCGTCAAAGGAATCGTCAGGGAATTAAAATAGTGAGGGGACTAAATTTAGAAAGTGTTTATATTTGTCGAAGGGAACTCTTTCACGTCACGATGAGGCAAAAGCCCTGGGTCTCGTGGTACGATGTTATCTTCGCTCGCCTTGCGCACTCAGCTTCAGTCTGAAAGGTGCCGAAGAACTGAATGCATTTATTTAGAAACACGATTAGTCTTTTTTTGCATATTTTGTTTTAACATTTGTATATCGTGGATGAGACTGTGTCTGAAACTTTAATATTTCTGTATTTACATGCTACAGTGCGAATGATATGAGGTCAGAATTTAGTTTTTTATTTACAAATCAATAAAATAAACACAAAGACATGTATACAAAAACCTTTATCAAAAATGGAAGTTATAGTATAGGATACCACAGCAGAGCATCCCCGCACACATGACTAAGACATAAATATCACTTGTTAAATGGATAATTCATTCCAAAATGAAAATTAGCTGTCAATTTACCCACAGGCCATAAGATGTAGGTGACTTTTTTTTTTTTTTTAATTCAGCAGAACATACTGAATACCAGGGTGCAAATTAAAGGGGGGTTTGGGGGTCTGACCCTCTAATTAATGCTTGATCCCCCCTGAAGAACATAAAAGTAGATGTTTTAATAGTTTAATAGTTGAGAAATAGTTTGCTCTGATCTGTATCTTAAGTAATAGTAATAATTAAATAATAGAAAATGTAAATATACATTTGACCTCCCCCATAATGGTTCATACCATTGTGAATGCATGTTTGCGCCAACAATTTGAGCACCAACAGACAGCATAAGTGTTCACAATACATGTGTCTTGTAAAATAGGCTTTTGAACTGTAGGTGTCCATTAAACTTAATGCATAGTTTGTATATTTTAAAACACTTGCCCACATGGAAGTTAAACAGTAAGTTAAAAAATATGTACCATCTTTCATAGTCATGCAAATAGGTGAAGGAATGCAAACCTGTCATCATTTATTCAATAATTACAAATGTCATTGAGAATCACTCAATATCCCTCAACTCTAAAACAAAAGTTTGATTAATAAATTAGATGTAATTAAATAGATAATTTTGGTTCACTGAGGCATATTACCAAACATAACTGAAAAACTTGACCCAACCCCAATCGTCAATGTATAATTTGCACATTACTGGATATTTATTTATTTATTTATTTATTTTTGCAATTGTGGATGTTGATAATTTTGTGAAATGCAATCCAGTAGCTTCCAGGATTAAGAGTAAAAAAATAAAAAAAATTAAAGGAATTGACATATTGGGAAGCAAATGATATGACTGTGCAAGAAACAAAACATTATTCACAGCATTATTATCTCTAATCTACAGCCTCTGAGAGACGCATAAAGACAACCGCATAGAAGAACTTTTTACAATTTATCACCACAAATCACAGCCATTTTTTGTGTTGCCTCAACTTTTGTTGACCCTCAAAGTCATGAAACTGATTTGATAAGTCGCCAAGGACTACAGTTTGAACAAAATCTTTGGCTTAATAAAAAGGCACTTACAGTACATGTTGGAGGGTATGAGAGTAAAAATGAAAAGCAAATTTAAATTTTGGGGTGAACTATCCCTTTAATTTACTGCCTTAGACATTCTGTTCTCACCATGGAGAGAAGAACATTGTAATTTTAAATCATCATCTCTAATCATATATATGATTCATATCAAAGAATTTCCAGACAGGGTGAAAAATAATCTGATTAACTGAGAGCTGCTCTTTTCAACAGCAAATGAAATAGCTAGCGGCAGAGACATAGAGAAATAGAGAGCGAAGGGGGGATTCGAGGTCTAGCACCTTGCGACTTTTAATCAAAGCTTTGGTAAAGTATCGATTTAAGTTACCTTTGGGAGAAGTATGCTGTATTTATTGTTACAGCCAAATCGTTTCCAGTGCACATATTTTGTGTGTTTATTATCAAACAGAATCGAAATTTGCAGCATTTAGAGATTGCACTTTAAAAATGTGACCTTCAGTTTATATTTTCACAATCACACATTTAGTATATATACACTATCTGAACCATATGAGTTCAAAATGCTGGACTTTTTAAAGATGTTTTAAAATATGCAATCTCACAGTTATAATGAAGTATTACTAATCATAAGGCGGTCTATGCCGTGACTTGGCACTGAATTGGAATACTAAAATAGAGAGCGTGTTTGAGGAGAGTGCTGGGCTTGATGCATTTGGCTCTTGTTGGCTTGGCTGCGGGATATGTCAGCTGAATTTCCTGTCACTTTGTGTCCATGAATTTGTATGTGAATTTGTTCATGTGCACGTGTCTGTTTGAGTGCACGTGTGTACAGTATCTTACAGTATGTAGGGTACCACTTCATTTAAAAAGACAGTTCACACAAAAATGACAAATCTGCCATTATTTACTCTCTTCACTTTTTCCAAACCTGTTTCATTGATTGACAGCCACGTATTAATATGTCTTCTTAGTAATGCATGTAATCAGACCGACAAGACATGTGCAAAGCAACTGGGATGAAAAGATCTGTTAAGCTCTGTCTAATCATCAATCATCATTAAATGTGATCAAGAATGAGTTTTACAAGTTTAAAAAGATTTCAAAATAGGACATGTTTGTAATGAATTACAGCAATTTTACCATCTTTAATGTATCACCACAACCGCATATCAGTACAATTATAAAGGAAGATGCTTCAATCACAGTTTGTGGACAGTAAATCGAGTTTTTTGCGTACATTAACGTAACGTATATCGATACAGCAGTGTATATTAATGTGTGTCCGGTCACATTTGCCATGCAAAAGCAGTGCAATGTTCATCGTGCGTGCTGTGTTTGTGTGCCTGCTGTGTGTATGTGTGCATGTATGCATGAACTTTAACAACATTGTGTGTGACTCGTCGTTGCAGAAAGGCTTGAGGTAACTCCATAACAAATACAACAAATAATCATTGGGAAAGTTTCACTGTAGTATTTCTCACAAACATTACTTGAGATTTTCTTCCTTCTTATCTGTTACTGAGCTGTTTATCTGACGCAGCCGAGGCAGAGATTGAGGCACACTCTGACAGGCACATGGAAACAGGGGGAGGGGAGAATTAGAATGAAAGCCACAGGCAACAGAAACAGCTACATAGTGTTCAAAGCAGAAAATTCAAATGTTCTAAAATATATAATGAATAATCTGATGGGTGTTTTGAGCTGAAAATTTACAGACACAATCTGGAGACACAAAAGACACATCTTAAATCTTGAGAAAGGGGTCAAATAGGTGCCCTTTAAAAGACCAATAGACGTTTTTTGGAAATAGGCTCATTTAACAAGTGAGTTTTACCATTTTTAAACCCATTCAGCCAATCTCTGGGTCTGGCAGGAGCACTTTTATTTTAATTTAGCATAAACCATCGAATCAGATTAGACCATTAGCATTTAGCTCAAATAATTAATGAGGTTTAATCATTTTCACTTTTAAAGCTAGACTTTTCTGTAGTTATATTATTTACTAAGAGAGAAGGAAAATTAAAAATTGCTATTTTCTAGGCCAGTCTGGCTCATAAAGGCTGCAGCCCAGGAACCCACCATGGGGAGGGGCCTACAGATGGCAGAAAAGCATAATAAATACAAATTAATGTTGTTTTAATATTATTTCAAGGTTAAACACTTATTTATTTAATCATAATTAAATGATTTTTTAAATAATTTTTTTGAGGAAATGGCAAAACAAATGGATGTGTATTCTATAGCCTTCTAGTGATTGACAGATGTGTGGGTGATATTACACAGTGCTGTTACCTAGTTACCTAGCTGGGGACTATTTTCAGGTGCTGCATAATATCATTGCGCCTGCTATAGCCATGGTACTAAAGCAAAGATCCTTAATTATTACGCCAGAATGAGAGTATAGTTTTCAGCCTTAACAGTCTTCAAAATAGTAACTTTTCATTTTCTTTCAGTCTCAGCACACAATAGCCCCATTTGCTGGCCAGTGTTAGCCGGGGCTTTCATCGGGCCGGGCTTGGCCAATAGCCTGGGAGCTTAGGGAGTGAGGCCGAAATCACGTCGTGTTTCCACTGTCAGGCCAATCGCTCGCTGCACGTCACAAAAAAACTGCCCTAATAACGCCCCTCATATCTAACGTCACACAACCTGCACAGTTCAGCGGCAAAAAGATACTTAAATTAGACTCACAAGCACTAACATCATTAGAGCTTCAAGATAGAGACAACTGAAGTGATTGCTTTTTACTGTTTGTGGCCTGTTGGTGGAAGGCCAGACAGTGATTCCTGAATGAGGACATTTAAGTTCGGCGGTGTAACTACATAAGAGTCAGGCTTTAATTAGGAACAGTATCACAACTTGTATAAGATGCTGATGGTCTAATCTGTTTCAGCTATTTATGCTAAGCATAGCTAAAAGTACTCCCATCTGACCTTCCACATGAAAATGTTGAGTGAACTGTCCCTTTAACTACATATTTATTTCGATCACACTTTTTAACTACGTGGCATGAGAATGACATTTAAAGTTTTTCCCCCTTCACTAGATATTTAGCTGGAGAATTAATTTTGGGTTCTCCTAATTTGAAAGCAGCCTTGACATTTACTTTAACCAGAGGATCAGTTTACATCCATAACATACACGCAAAACACACACCAACTCACACATCAACTCTAGTGCATTTCCATCTTACTGACTGCATTGTCTTTCTTACACCAGAAACCACTGTTTGCACTGCAGCATGAAGAGATGAAACACACACACACACACACACACACACTCATTAGTGGCCACGAAAGTTCGCCGCTGTCCTCTGTTACCACGGAAACTCCCACGCTGTCTGGGCAGTGGGTGTGTGGTGGTCCATCCCATGATCCTTTGTGACAGCATGAACGATTTCGACCAATCAGTGGAAGCAGAGCACAGATCTCATTATTCTTCTTGAGGGGGCGACACGGACAGCCTGTCTTGATGCCAAACATAGGCTTTTATCTCTATCTCTTTACTCCATAATTCAATACATAAAAAAATCAAATTTGTTGCTTAAATATTGGTCCAGATCACTTAGCCAGGAAAAATGAGACTTTACGTGGAGCCCTAATCATCTTGTTTCTTTTGCCTTGAAATTCATTTTTTAAGTTTTAATTTTGTTATATTATATTGGATCAAAGGTAAACAAATAACTAAATGAAATGTTATTTCGGAAATTTGTTTTTATTAGTGCTGTCAAATAATTAATCACAACCAAAATAAAAGGTGTGTGTGTGTGTTTGTGTGTGTGTGTGTGTGTGTGTGCGTGCGTGCGTGTGTGTGCGCATGTGCGTGTGTGTATTCATTATATGTATATGCTGTGTACATATAAACCTGTTGAAAATGCAACAGTTTTATATTATATATAGATGTTTATATCTCTATATAATGTGTAATCGATGAGAATATTTTATATTTATCTCACCGTTCGGATCACACTACAGTTTTTGAGTCACAGATCCGACAATATCATTTACTTTAATTTGTTAAA